ACAGTTTACCGAATTCACTGGAAGCGCTTGGCAAGTGGAATTTGTTTAAAGTTAAGTAGAATAAAATGTAATCGAAAAAGAAGAAAAATAGATTTTGGACATCATTTTAAATTTTAGAAATGCTTCAACTCACTAAGATCTAAAACGGGAGACAAAGAAAAAAAACAATTAAAAGGCAAATTAGTTACCAACGAAGTATAAAAAATTATCTAATGACGTCTGAACTATTTCTGCAAGGTGTTATGGTCCAGTTCCTTGTACCACGGTGATAGTCCAAGGTAGAACCAATAAAGAAGAACTCGAACACGGATATGGAATAACACAGATATATTACAAACAGGAATATATACAGAGAGGTAGTAAAGTGTTTGTACGAACAATCAGGTTTAGTAGGGAGAACAATGTAGTCTCGACCAGTATCACTATTCAATGTTTAGTAATTGTCTGAAACAATGTTTCGGAATGCCTCTGACGACTGCCCTGAATCACTATGACAATATCTTGTAAGTAATTGACTTCAGACTGAACTCCAGAATTCAGACTGAACGGTACGCGACCCCCCTGTTATCATGTGGTACAAGGCCGGTTTAACGTGGGATCTCGAGCCCGTGATCTCGCTCAAAAATAATTTTGAACCCGTATAAACGGGTTCAGGGTCGGACTTCCTCCAGACTCGCCCTTCGGCGTAGCCTCGTTCGGGTTCCTCCCCGCCCAAAGGCGGAGAGTTCAGCCGGTCAGCCGGTCGCCCGACTTCGAACTGAACTCCCTGCTTCCTCTTGAGGCGCAGTATTTATTACGTATGGAATAGTCCATTATGTTATTATGGGTAAGGTCCCATAACACAAGGGCAACTCACAATAAAACTATTTGACAAGTAATATCAAATGAAAATACTGTCAGCAATTTAACTTGATTTTTTAATTCCCAGAAGCTTTCATAAAACTCAAGATGACTTTCAACGGGTGGAGGAGGTTTCTAAATGTCATTTCTTTGCTTTCAGTTTTTCCAAAACTCGGCGCAAATCACCCTGAATGTATTTTGTCACCCATCGCTGTAATGTAGTTTTAATGGCTGGCCGATCGTATCCAAGTATAACTGTGCTACGTTTTGTCATCCCCTGAGGTTCAGATATTGTCTCTGTCTGCTAAAAAAAAAAATAACCATGAAGCATCTTGTGTTTTAACTTGCCACGCCGTTTCTTCTAATGCTGATTATTTTCTACAGTCATTAGCTCAACAGTCTTTCCTTCCAGATCCCTATCAATTCTTCGTACAGCTTCCAGAAGGAATTCAGAACTCTGAACATAATTCTCAAGTCCCAGAACTGTCGATGACTCAAACATGCGCCTTCTTCCTAACTTGAAATTATACAGCCTATTGGCATTAGTTTGGATTCAGAGTCTTATAAACGGCAACATATACATTTTTCTACCCCCCTCCTCTTCTTCCGTATCATTCCAATTTCAGAATGCTGCAGAATGGCACAGAAGAGATTGTCAAAGCATTAATTTCTTTGATGATATTTCCGCCATTAACATTTGTTGCAAGAATATTCCTTACACATCTGATATCTCAACCTTCATTCCAGCATGCTTCAGTTCGTTGGTCTGTAGACCGCTAAGAATATTTATACCGCTCTCTATCTTTCACGGAATTCAAGAATTCTCCATCCGTTAATTGTATTCCTTGGAATTCAGTTATTTTTCTCTCTTAATATTAGGGTAACACATTTGTCAATGTCAAATTCTATCTCAATACCCACACTGAAAACACAAACTATCTGAATCAAAGAACTATTTTTATTTTATTTCTTTTGATTTCTGGTGTCTACACATTTCTTTCGTGGTCCCGCCTAGAGGCCTATTATTATTATTATTATTATTATTATTATTATTATTATTATTATTATTATTATTTCCTTTGATTTCTGTTGTATACACATTTATTTCCGGGTGCCAACCAGATACCTCAGATCGGGAATTGCTTCATGACTTTTTCTACTGACCATTTTTGTAAAAAAGTGTATACATATTTTACAGAGATGAATCTCTTCGTAATTTCTGAGCTGTACTTGTAAGTACATTTTTTGTACTTCTTTAAGGCATGGGCTACCAGGAATCTCTTCAATGCGTCTATTGGAATCTTTTCCAATCAATCTGAAGATTCCAACTACAACTGGAATTTTTGATGTTCTCATGTGCCACCTTTTTGAGATTTGGAATTATTATTATTATTTCTATATTTCCGAGATGAGGTATTATGTACACTATTTACATTGCTCGGACTATCATTCTCATCTTTATTGCCATATTTATCACAACGTTTCGGCCGTTGTACGCCCAGGCTTTCTTCAGGTGGTTGTAATGTCGAACTGAACCCTTTATTTATAAAGGGTTCAGTTCGATATTCCAACGACCTGAACAACAAGTGAAACATTGTGATAAATATAACAACAATAATGAGGAGGATAATAGTCCGAGCAATGTAAATATTATTATTATTATTATTATTAAAAAAGCATCAGAAATTTATTCGCCTCAGTAAAACAACATCGTCTGCTGAAATATTTTGAATTGTTATTGATAACAATGTTTGGAAGACGTGTATTCTGTTAGTTTTTAGTAAATAAAAGAAACAAATTACTTCGGGAAAAATCTCATTTTAGCCAGTCAGGAATCGAAAGAGACCTGACTACCTAATATGATCGTCCAAGCGTGTATCACGTATGGCACTTAACTGACTGACTGATTACTAATGGAAATCAATGTTTTGTCTTTTTCAACGTTGTTTGATATTACTACGCAAATGGCCCAAACTGATAAAACTGTATTTATTCATTGGATTCGACTGTGTTAGGACGTTTTATTTCGGCGCCTAATGTTTTTATTGGCTGATAATTCAACTACAAGGTTTTACAACTTACACAACTCTCTGTCTTCGTATTTTCTTTGGCTTCTTCCTTTAAGTGCAATGTGTTTACAATCTATAAAACTGTCAATTCAATATTCACTCACCAAAAAAAAAAAAAAAAAAATATAATTCTTACAATGGAAAATACAATTCAGCTATAAATAACAAAAAAGGGTTGATAAACTGTAAAACAAATTCAATAAAAAAAAAGAATGCTGGAAACTTTATTCACTGATTTTTATCCTTTTTTTAAGCGTTTCACCCCAAGAAAGGCGGGAAGCCACTAGGATGCAAGTAGTTACAGAAGATTTGGAGCAAGATCAGATAGGAGTGATAGAAGAAAGGATGAGGAGAAGGGTAGTGAATAGATCAAGGCAACTGGAGATGTCGATTGACATTATATTTGAATAGTTGGAGATTATAGCTCTCAGGGAAACTGAATAGGGAAGAGAGTTCCACAGGCGAGAGGTGTCAGACATAAAGCTATTGGAGTAGAGGAGACGGCTACATTTAGTAGTTTCGACAGTGAAAGGGTGAGAGCGGGATGCCAGCCTCGTAGGGCGCTTGAATTCATGAAGTCTGGGAACCAGCGAATGCAGTTCCTCGGAGCAATTGCCATGAAAGTATTTGTAAAACAGACAGAGAGAGGCGACGGCGCATCTGTGAGAAAGTGACTGTAGACGAGATGCCAGATCAGGGGCAATGTTTGATTCATTCATTTTTACGTCTTATCAACCTTATTAAAGTCGAGAAATAATTTTAGATATTAAAAATATTTTTTTTTTTATGAATGAATATTGTGATAATCATATTTTTGGAGATAATTATAATTCTCAAATACAGTTTTTAGTATTTAAAGCGTAAAAAGAGAATAGGTGAATATATAACTTTCCCAGGGGGAATTTTGCGCGCATGTGAATGCAATGAACCCGACTGGAAATCGAACTCGGATCTCCCAATTTTGCATTCTGAGCCGTTATCCATTACACCAAACAAACAATCAAGCTTTAAAGCACCTGGTATTCCTGAGTGTTTACCCATCTAGATACTGACTAGGCTCGACGTTGTTTAACTTCGGTGATCGGACGAGAACCGTTGTTTCAACGTGGTATGACCGTAAACATTTTCAGGTTAAGAAGAGTCTCAAAGCCAGAAATATGCTTCTGGTGCCAAATGGTACTAATTACATAGGTTGACGAAATGGGAAAGGAGGAAGTTTAAAAAAAAAAAAATGAATGACACATAATTAAAATCAGAAAGTGACATTTTCTGTCCATGTGACATAATCGTAACTGGTACTATAAAAATGAAACTACAACACATATCAATTCGGCATTTCATCTCCTTCGAAGTAGTCTCCTCCTGAAGCCACTCACTTTGTCTAGCATCGCTTCCATTATTGGAAGCCTTACTGGAACTCCTTTTTTTCCGTGATACCGAGCAGCTACCTCGTCGCATTCTCTAGGATTTCATCGACGTTTTGAAAGCTTGTTCCCTTCAAGTGGGATTAGGTTTTTTGGAAAGACGAAAAGGTCGAAATAGGCGAGGTCGGAAGAATATGGAGGTTGCCGGACCTCGGGATTGTTAATCTTGACCAAAAACTGCTGCATAAGCCATGGTCTCTAATGGAACCTCTGTGGTGTATAATGAGACGACCACACTCAACGCACTTCCCTTCCAAGCACTGCTATAAACAACAGAATTATGCGAGAACGCTATAATTTAGTATTCCTGAGCGACGTATCATCTAAGTATTCTAACTCTGTTATCATAGTTTTTTGATCAGTACAGAACATACCAAGGGGAGCAATAAGCGGACAGAAATTGCCTAACTAGTTTGAGTGAAGAGGTATAAGGAATAGAAAGTTGTGGAGGACCATGATAATTCACTGTGAATGAATGGCTCAACGAGGAGAAAGATGTCAAAGAATCAAACGTTGCTTATAGCGACATTGGATGGGAAGTTGTGTAGAGCTATGATCATTCACATCCAGAGGTGACAAGGTAATATAAAAAAAAAGATCTTTCACTTGCAATGTTTGTTTGTCGCTTTTATAAGTCTATCTACGCCTCGGCGTAGAGATCTATTTCGATTGGTAAAAATCGCACTGGATAATTCCAGAACTAGATAATTCCAGAACTGGATAATTCCAGAACTGGATAATTCCAGAACTGCCATTGAAGTAATTGTGGACGAAACTTTAACAGCAACCAAAAGGAACAAAGCATCCAGGAACAGAGTATATTACTTCACGGGATCCACACTAGTATCCTGGCTTTAGCAAATGGGGTGTGAAGGTGGTGCATTGTGTAGAACGTGGAATTGTCGAACTGAGTTCTAATTCTGGTCGAAAACATTACATTGACGTTCGCAAAAATATTCTTGAAAAAGGCCCGAATCCATCTCTTCTCTCTCAGTTTCTGGGTTCAATAGAAGGACACCCTGGTCAATCATTATAGAAGGATATCTCTGTATTCAAAACCGTATAATGTCCTGACTGAGGCACATACGGAACTGAAACAATGTTCCTCTCAGTATAGGCACAGAATAAACCTCAGCTTGGCTCTGAGGCTGTTACTGAAACACAAATGGGTCTGAGCAGTTGGGCATACTCGACAACCAGCAGCTATGCTGAAGATGGGAAGTCACATTGATCTAGAATATGCCTTCCAGTCGAAATAACTCAGACGATTAGTAATCTGTTTTAGTGTTTCAAATCGTAAAGGTTTTCATCAATTGAAAGATTGAAATTTTGATTCACAATCCTCCCACTTGAAAATTAAATACCAAATCTATGAACGAAATAAAAGTAGGACTCCTTGTTTATCATCACAAGCCAATATTAAAGACTTTCATCTTCGCTGAGATCCTTATTCTTGTGGCCTTTAGGAAAGTTTATCTACACGTAATAAATATCTTTTCTAATACAAAATACAATGTAACTTTATGTATTTATCGGTCACGCAACCAGGTTTCAGTAATGAGACATTTCATTGTTTTGGTAATATGAAGCGCATATGTTGTATGGTGCTATAACAAAGGAAGGTGTTAATACTAGCTAGTGAGACCAGGTTGCTAATAATAATTTGCTTTTTACTTCTTTTTATTTCGTATTTCTTTCTTTCTTTCTTTCTTCTTCTCCTCTTTATTTCTGTTTGCATTGTTTCTCTTTTTAATTCTTTTTCTTTATCTTTATCTTTGTTCAATTATTTCTTTCTTTCTTTCTTTCTTTCTTTCTCACTGAAAACAAACAGCGTCTCTGACATGTCTTTTTGTCTTTCACCGAGGTTTCTTCGGAATAGTCCATTATTTATGAGGTATTAGCATGTCCTAATGTTCGTGCTAACTACCTAAATATGGACCAGGAAAAAAAAAATAAAAAAAATAAAAACAACAACAAACAACAACAACAACAACAACAACAATAATAATAATAATAATAATAATCATAATAATAATAATAATAATAATAAGAAGAAGAAGAAGAAGAAGAAGAGGAAGAAGAAGAAGAAAAGTAAGAATACTCAAATGTATGACGGTGCATTCAGGAGGCTTACTGTTACTTCACACTAGTGATGTGACAGTATGTCACACTATCAAGCGTACTTCACACTGGCAACAAAAACTGGTTACCTCTCTAGTTATTTTGTTGATTAAATAATAATGATAATAATTAAAACCTATGAATAATGAAAAAATGACATTCTTTTGACGTAACAAGAAAATTCAAGAGAAAAAAAAAAGAATCTATTAAAATACTTTTAGGTACACTAAAGAAATCAGGGCGTCACTGCATGTAGTGATGGTTAGAGATTTAATTTGGTTGACAATTAATTAAGGAATTCAATCATGACTGACCTCAAGACTAAAAGCGCCCTTTACTCTTGGTCCCCTTATAAAACTGAAAAAAAAAAAGATATAAGACCCGAGGACATTCGTTTATTTTTAAATTTAATTTGGCGCCTAATTTGAAACAATTTAGAGTATTTGGTCCTTTCTAGTTAGAGTGTTATTTATTTATTTATTTATTTATTTTTATTTATTTTTTTATTTTTTTTTTTTTTTATTTATTCATTTATTTATTTATTTATTTTTGTTTTTTTATTTTATTTATTATATTTTTATTTATTTATTTTATTTATTTTTTTATTTATTTTTTTTATTTATTTTTTTATTTTTTATTTTTATTTTTATTTATTTTTATTTTTTATTTATTTATTTATTTTTTATTTATTTTTTTGTTTTTTATTTTTTTATTTATTCATTTTCATTTATTTATTTGTTTATTTTTTTTTTTTTAATTTTTTAATTTTTTTATTTTTTTTTATTCATTTTTTATTTATTTCATTTTTAATTTTTAATTTTTTAAAAATTTTAGTCTTTTTTTAATTTTATAGATACTGGAAGCGAAATTTAGATAATGAAGGGGCCTCCAAATTCTATTACCTCATGGGCCTCTTTGAAAAGTTGTACTGATCAGAGAATCCGAACCTCACTGGATTCCCCAGGTCTTGTGACAAACTAAGCTATGGAGTGTCTAAGTGGTACAATGATTAAATATTTAGTCTCCCAGATAATTGATACTGAATAGGGATTTCTGTGCTCACTGGGTGACACATATTTTTACCTTTTTGCCTTAACCGAGCCGCTTTTCAGTGTAGTGTCATGGTAAACGTTTAGACTGGTTGACAATGATGTTGTAGGAAGTTCGACTCCCACTGGGTGTTCCATGCTTATGTTAGTGCGTAGAACTAAGCTAATCTTAGAGATAAGAGCATTGTAAATCTCGTCAAATGGTTGGTGTTTATTTCCAACATTATCAGACAATTATTTCCCAAGAGATAATTAACCATTGATTTTCTGAAGCAAAGAAACTATAAAAAAGAGAAGATATTTTAGGTCATCAGTATCACATTAAGAAACAATATAATTATTATTTTTTTTCAGTAATTTTGTATCATTATCTTCAGAGATTTGACGTCAATTAACGGTATCACCAAGAGAAACAGCACAGGAAAGAAAACGGAGCGAGAACACATATAATGAAACTTATATTTTCTTCACTGGACAATACCCTGATTCTGTCTGTCTTGAGACTAAGAAAGAGCAATTAACTGCTTCCGAATATCAACCTTCAGACGTCAGTGTCTAAGCCTAGTATTTTGGCAAATTTCTATGTTTAAAAAAAACGTCTTCAGCTTATGGTTCGACAGAATCATGGCGAAAATACCGCTAACCGAAAATGTGAGCAACGACGAAGTTTTAGAGAAAATACCCCCCCCAAAAAAAAGAACACTTATACTTAACATCACAAAGATACAGTTGATATTTCTAGGGCACATAATAAGAAAAGAGGGCTTGGAAAATTTGATACTCACAGGACAGATTGAAAGTAAGAGAGTCAGAGGAAAATAACGCATTTCTTGATTAAATGGATGACGAAGAGGAGACTTCAGGCTGTAAAAATCTGGTTCTGATGGAGGATGGTGAGGACATCATGGACCGAATATGGGAGCAACGACGAAGTTTTAGAGAAAATGGAAACAAAAAGGAAACTTATGCTTAACATCAGGTGAATTTTCTCGGGTTCCTACTCGTCGGTTGGAACGTCTTATACTCACAGAACAGATTGACAGCAAAAGAAGCAGAAAAAGAGAGCACATGACATCCTTTGTGAGCTTGAGTAAATGGATGGATGGACAAAGTTTAGGAACTACAAAAAAAAAAAAAAGACAACAATTATTGAAAGGTACAAAGAAAAGGAAATTTTGGAGAGCCATGATCATCTACGTTGTGAAAGACCATGGCACATAGAAGAAGAAGAAGAAGAAGAAGAAGAAGAAGAGGAAGAAAAAGAAGAAGAAGAAGAGGAAGAAGAAGAAGAAGAAGAAAAAAGAAGAAGAAAAAAGAAGACGAAGAAGAAGAAAGCATTAGATTCATAAAACTAAAGAGAAATACTTTCACAGAAATAAATACTGAAATGTTACCTGATATCAGTCTTCTTATATGGCAGCGAAAAAGAAAATTGAAACAAAATGGACAAAATTTTAAAGAAAATTGAAACAAAAATACACAATTATACTAAACATCAGGAAGAGACAATTGACATTTCTAGGGAA